ACTTAGAAGGGAAGTTGGCACCTAAGGTATGTAGCTTACACCTCAGTTAGAAGGGAAGTTGGCACCTAAGGTACCTGTGGCAGGCTTCCCCCATATGCCTGTCAACTAATTCACTGAACATCACAGCAATGAACATGTAAACCCAGCACAAAGTGGCATGTCTCTGTGATGAGGAAATAGGGGGCAGTGGCAGTAAAGCTGCATCGGGAGGTAATATTTCAGGGCTCTTGGTTTCTATATGCTGTGGTGTAGTGAGCAATGTTGCTGTTTGTAAGTGTGCTCCAAAGTTTGTGTACGGAGCTGCCTCATGGCTTGAGACACCACCTCCCATTTGTTGTCCCCATCTTCTCTGACGGGCTGTCACATTTCAACTGCCACAGACCCAATTGGCTCTACCATCCCATCTGGTCCTCCCGTAGCCCAGAGATGGTTGATCCTGGCGACATGCTAAGCAGAACACTCTCTCACCGGGCATGGAGCTGCTTTGCTGCACACTGACTCAAGAGATACTCTAGGTTTCAAAGTGTCAGTCCTGGAAGGCTTTCCTTGGTGTATGGGTGATGAGTGACACATATGTGCTGGGGCTGTGTGGGAGAAGGGTTGTTATGGGGTTAGTTTTGAGGAATTATGGTAGCTGATTGCTGAACCAAGTAATCTGGCAACTGTATAGTTTAACTCCTACAGCCAATATAAATTGTCGATGCAACACAGCTGTAGAGTAAGGATGGTGATTGTGATCTCTGACGTAACTCATCCAATGGTCTAGGACAGGGACGGGAAAACCTTTTTTAGACTAGGGGCTGCTGACCCACAGAAAAATCAGTCGAGGGCCGCACACAAGTGAGAAGCCAACCTACCCCCACAATTCCTCGCTGATGTAGTCCCCAGCTGAGGAGAAAGACACTTCCCACATTCCCTTCGCACAGCAGAGCTTGGGGGGCCCCATGGGGAGGCAGCAGGGGGCTGGAATGCCAGCGCGGGCTCCCCAATGCTGTGGAGAAGCCCTGAGTTTCGGGGGCTGTATCCAGGCAAGCCAGGGGCTGCATCCGGCCCCAGGCCTTACGTTTCCCACCCCTCGTCTAGGACTCCTGCCAGGGCACAGATACATGACATACTGCAGCTGTGTGCCACAGGGGTCTGTCAAGTCAGAATGGGTGAATATGTTAAAAACTGTATGGTAGCAGATGGCAGAGCTCTCGACCATGCTTGTAGCTGTTTCCATTGCCCCACACGTATTCTATAGCCATACTCCTCTTCAGACAGGCTGAGGAGGTTTTGCCTTCCTCTGCAGCCCGGGGCATGGTCACAGGCAGGTTTAAGCCTGTAGTGTAAAGGGTGGAGCCTCTGAAACTTGAAGTCTTTATATAATGATTTGATGACTTCAGTAGCTCAGCCAAAGGTTATGGGTTTATTATGGGATGGGGGAAGGTTCTGTAGGCTGCACTGTGCCCAAGGTCAGATCAGATAATCCTGGTGGTCCCTTCTGGCCTTAAAGTCTGTGAGTGTGTGGCATCTGATTATACGGGTAATGTGATAATGGGAGTCTGATCTCACTTAGCTCACAGAATAAGTGAGCCTACCTATGCCTCAAAGTCTGAACCCCATCTTACAAGAGAATAAACAAAGTGTAATTTAAGGTTCACACCTGAGCCAGTAGATGCTGGCAAACATCTGAGCCAGTAGATGCTCATGCAGAAACACAGTTACATAGACTAGACATTTGCAAGGTCAGAAATTCATAGCTGTCTTGTTAAACACGGCACCTGGTGAGCTAGGAACCTGAGAAAACACCAGTTCCATTTCAGTATAAACAGCAGCTTGGTAATGGCTCCTTAGGGTGAAATTCACCCTGTGCTTAAGACTAGGCAAAAAGCCTGGACACCATAAGGTACCAGGGCTGCACTGAGGGCTAAATGGATAAGATCTAGCACTAGCGTTGCACTTGATTGGAGTCCCCAGTTCTGTGTAGCACGGTGGCGAGCACTGCAGGCTGGACGGGCGCAGGGTCAGGTGTTGGCTGCAGGGTGGGTGTGTGAATTTTATTAGTCTCCTCACAGGTCATTAGATTTGGTTTTAGAGTTAGATGGCATCAGGCAGGACTGCCTGCTCCCTGTACTGTGCTGGGTTCTGTGGAACAACAGGCTGGGTTTGCTCAGGGACTAGCCAGGAATTCCCTCTCTGTGAGGAAAGTGGTTTGATTGTGGAGAGGTCTGCTGCCTGGAACGAAGCGAGGCTGCATCCATCCACCAGCCCATCCCCTAGATGACATTTGGTGTTGTCCTTTCAAGTACCTGCTTCTGGCCAAGGTTGAAGATGGAACAACCTGGGCTGTGGGTCTGATCCAGGGCAGCAGGGAGGGTGGGATACTGCGCTGGATGGGTCCAGCAGTCTAATCCAGTACAGCAGTTCTTCTCTCCCAATTTAACTCCCTCCTTGGCTTATGATCCCCATGGGGTAGTCGGGGTCACTGTAACCCCAGGTCCAGCCCTTCGACCAGCCAAAGTGGAAGGGAGGGCTGAGTTGTCAAGGAAGAAGTCAGCAAGTCCTGGCAGATGTCCGGGCTACCAAGCAGGCAGGTGGCCTCATGGTCCTTGAGCGTCTGAATCCAGTTCTTCTTCTCCTTCTCCAGGGCCTCAATCTCCTTCTGCAGGGCAGCGTTAGACTTCTCCAGCATCTCGTGTTGCTGGCAAAGAAAGAAGGGGTGAGACTAAAATGCCAGCCACTTTGAAGAATGTGTGTGTGTGAGTGAGGGGGATCTGAGAGGTTCTATCCCCAGTTCGCACTCTTACTACTTGATTATGAGTAAGGTTAAGATTGTGTCATGGTTATGTTTCATAAAAGCAGGGACAGGCCATAAACAAAATAACGGTGACAAAATGAGGGTGACGGGGGGAGACCTGAAGCCTGAGCCTGGCTACAGAAGAGGGGAGGGGTCCAGCATGCACCCCTGCCATGGCTTGGAGCACTCAGGGCTGCCCTTAGCAGCTAAGGGCTTTGGGGACACTGTCGCCTCCATGGATGAGACTTCTGGGACAGATGACTTGGAGATCCAGGTCCCCCCACCCCCACGCTGGCTGCCAGCTCCAGCCCACCCCCTCAGGCTGAAGTGGAAAATGTCACAGAGGTCTCTGAAGCCAGAGGATCCGTGACATAATCTTATCCTTAATTATTAGGAAGATCTGCTATATGATTTCTAGCCATTTCTGTGCAGAACAACAGTGGCCCCTGGTGTATGATGTGGTGGCTGGCACAGCCAGGTGGCAGGATAGGAAACAGCAACAGTGGGGCAAAGCTGACTCCAAACAGGGCGCAGCAATATTAGTGCTTTCACAGCAATGCCCACACAGCAGGACGTAGTGCTGGATGAATAGGTTGGTCACTGTCTCATGAGCCAAATTCTGTCCCAAGGTACACCCATATCTGCTTCTACCAGGTCATGCAGAGAGACAGAATTAGGCCCTAAGAATTGTAGCTAATCCATGGCCAATAACATCATTATGCTGCTGCAGAGATAGAGCCCTGACACACACACACCCCACCCCCTGTGCTGGATTTAGCACACCTGACTGAACAGGTCCAGTACTCTCCAGCAGGAGGCACAGCTCTGCCTGCACATTCATTACATTATGAGCCCGGCAGCTGCATTAGCATTGCCTTCAGCATGGCCACTCACTTCCCTGGCCTTTCAATCTTCAGCCTAACCCCTCCCACAAGTGATGCTTGGGGATTTTTAAGAATTTTGATCACATTGAAGGTGAAGTGCGGCAGTGGCTAAGGGGGCAAAAAGGACTTTGGGTAAAGAATAATTAGAACATTTTCTAGTGCTGTTCTATACATTGATTGTGCAGCCTCTCTGGAATACTGGGTAGCAAAAGAACAAGGACCCAGGGGTCAGAGTCAGTTGAGAAACTCAGATTCAATTCCCTGCTCTGCTACAGCTACCCTGTATGACCCTGGGCAAATCCCTTAGTTTCCTATGTGCTTCATTTTTCCCCATCTATACAAAGAGGCTAATAGCACTGCCCCGCCTCACTGGGGTGTGGAGAGGAAAATGCCTTCAGGGTGGTGAGATGCTCAGTGACTAGGCTAATGGGGTGCAAATACCTTTCTGGTGCCAGAGAGAGATTCTGGATGCACTGCTGGTCACCCCATCTCCAAAAGGATATTGCAGAAAGAGCGAGGGGTCAGAAACCTGGAAATACTCTCTGAAAAGTCTGGGATGGGTTTTAAGAAAATAAAGGCGAGGGGACAGGATGGAAGTTTCTAAAATACTGACTGTTTTAGAGAAGGCAGATCAGAGCTTTTGTTCTCCTGGTCTCCTACCATGAGAACAAGGGGCCATTCAATGAAATTGAAAGAAGGGAAAGAAAGACAATAAAAGAAAATGCTCACTCACATACCATGGGCTTAGCCTGTGGAGCTCTCTGCCACAGGAAGTCACTGGGGCCAAGAGCTTGGCAAGACTCAGAAAAAACAGTGTGTAGACCGATATGCAGAACAGGGATAGCTGGAGTAAATGTTGGTACAGTGTGGAAGGGCTATTAAACTGTGGGCTTCAGCTGAGCTCTGACTAGTAGAGACCAGAAAGAGGCCTGATGAGGGGCCCAGAGTAGCGCACATCTACTTCTATGGGAGTCTTACACCTTCTTCTGATGCTTCTGTTGCTGGGCACTGTCAGAGACTGTGCACATCCTGCCAGCACATGCTATGACCCTGCTCTGTCTCTCACTGGTTCCCTGCCAGAGTCCAGGAAACTGGGTGCTTTTGCTATCACTTTCCCTCTGACAGTTCAGTCAGGCACAGCCCTGTGTCCCTGCTAGACACAGTGTCACCTTAACCAATTGTTTGCAAAAGGAATGGTTTGGAAGACCCCTGCCTGACTAAGGGGATGTAATAGAAAATGGAGGGCTAGAAATTCCACAGATCCCAAATGGAATGGATTGAGAGGCAGTGGAAGTCAAAGGGTATGCAAGGCTCAGGAGTCAGCACACTTGAGTTCATAGATTTTTAAGGCTACAAGGGTCCTTTATGACTATGTGTTTGTGCAGCATCAAGCAAAGTGGGCGTAACAGTCTATGGGTGCTGCCACCATACACGCATAATAACACGCACGGAAAAGGCATACAGTGAGATAAGGCCTAATACGCAGCACTCAAATGGGAGCCAGGACTCCTGGATTCCAGCCTCAGTTCTAGGAGAGGAGGAGGAGGTCTAACAGGTTAGAGCAGGGAGAGGGCTTAGTCATTGCCATTTCCAGTTGAGCCCCGGAGCTATGAGTTCCAGAAGAGCTCCCCTGGCTCTAGCCACTACGCCGTGTTCCCCTCCCAGAGCAGAGGACAGAACCCAGGAGTCCTGACTCCCAGTCTCCTGTTCTGATCATGGGCCTGCACTGACTTCACATGAACACACCAGACACCACGCCGGCAAACTGTGAGGGGACCTGGGGCCACACTTAATGCATGTAGCTATTTTTGGTCCACAAAACCCCCAACTTTCTGGAGCTGCAGAAAATCATCTTGCAGAGCCCCAGCTCCTTATCCTGCCTGCTGCCCCAGACACCTCCCATCATCCAATGCTTGGGTCTTAAAGAGCCAGTGATTACTCTGGGGTTAGAGAGAGTGATCTTCCCTTCTCCAAGGCTCTGATTCCAGCATATCTCACCATGGAACCCCATCTCAAGGCCTTGCCACATGTGCTGACAGAGAATCCCCATTCACCAGGAGTATGGGTCTTAGGACACATGTAGTTATGCAGTTTTGATCACCTGCATCAGTTCTTGTTAACTTGTTCACTGGGGAGTTTTCTCTTTGGGGTGTCCTGGAACAGAACCCATGTTTCATCCTATCTTATCATCGTTAATCCCCTCCGCTGACCTGATGGAGCTCGTCTGCCTTCTCTGTGTGCTTCTGTCGGCTCCTCTGGGCAGCTGCACGGTTCTTTTGACGTCTTTTCAGCTTTTTTTCTTCCAAAGAATTCTAAGACACAAATCAATCAGTGAGGCTTGGGATGAGTTGGCTGGGCCTCAGCTAAGGGGCTCCCCAACACAGAGGGCATTATAGCTGATCCCCAACTCACTCCCTTATCAGTGAGGTAGAGGGCTGGATGGGCCATTTGGGGCGGGGGGAGGAAGGATGCAGGGAGTTTTGCACTCTAGGGCTATGTCTAGACTACAGGCTTCTTTCGGGAGAAGTTTTTCTGGAAGAGATCTTCCAGAAAAACTTCTTTCAAAAAAGAGCATCCACACAGCAAAAGTACATTGAAAAAGCAATCTGCTTTTTCAAAAGATAGCATCCACATTGATTGGACACTATCTTGCATTTAAGTTGTGATTACTATGGACGGAATGGCCATCGGGGCACCTGTGCTTTTTCCTGGAGGCCTCTTCTTTCAGAAAAAACCCTCTTCCCTGTCCACACACGCCTTTTTCTGAAAGAGCTCTTTCGGAAAAAGGTTTCTTCCTCGTAGAAAGAGGTTTGCGGCTTTCGGAAAAACCTCTACGTTCTTTCAACTTTCTGTTGAAAGAACACAAAGCGTTGTGGACGTAAATGTAGTTCTTCTGGAAAAACAACCATTTTTCCAGAAAAACTCTGCAGTGTAGACATACCCTAGGACTGTGGGATCCAGTGGGTTAAAACAGGACACCATGTCAGGGCACCTGGGTTCTATTCTTGATTCAAGGAGGCGGCTAGAGTTTAGTGGTTAGAGCTGAGGATGGCAATCAGGACTTTAGGATGTCTCTTCTCCTTATCATCCCAAATGAACCCAAACCAAAAACAAAGTTGCCCCTAGGAACCGGACTCTTGGATAATGCAACACACTGGACCGTGGATGTTGACGCTGGCTGTTTCGAACCCACACCAGTCATGGTTCAATGGTGAATCAGATCAGGGCTGACCCTGTCCCACTGTGCCTCATCACAGCCATTGAATTGACCCAGGGCATGCACCCAAGGGATGGGGCTTTTGAAAGCACCCAAGAGTCCCAGGAGATTTGGAGGCACAAGCCAAGATTCCCACCCAGGCTGGCAGTTTCCCAGCAGGTCTCCGAGCCCTACCATCTGAGGGGATTCTGTAGTAAGTGCTGGGCGTGAAAGGATGAGTGACAGAATGCCTGTCACTGACCCTCGGCATGTCTCCCTACATCTTCCACACATTTCACACACACACAATCCAGCACAGACACAGTCATAAGAACAGCCACACTAGGTCAGACCAAAGGTCCATCTAGCCCATTATCCTGTCTGCTGACAGTGGCCAATACCACATGCCCCAGAGAGAGGGAACACAACAGGTAATCCTCACATGATCCCTCCCCTGTCATCCACCTCCAGAGAAATTCAGACTAGGGACACCATTCCTACCCATCCTGGCTAATAGCCATTGACGGACCCAACCTCCATGAATCTATCTAGCTCTTTTTTGAACCCTGTTAAAGTCCTAGCCTTCACCACATCCTCTGGCAAGGAGTTCCACAGGTTGACTGTGCGCTGAATGAAGAAACACTTCCTTTTGTTTGTTCTAAACCTGCTGCCTATTAATTTCATTTGGTGTCCCCTAGTTCTTATACTGTGGGAATAAGTAAATAACTTTTCCTTATTCTCTTTTTCCACACCAGTCATGATTTTATAGGCCTCTATCATATCCCTCCTTAGTCTCCTCTTTTCTAATCTGAAAAGCCGAAGTCTTTTTAATCTCTCTTTATATGGAACCCGTTCCAAACCCCTAATCATTTTTGTTGTCTTTTTCTGAACCTTTTCCAATGGCAATATATCTTTTTTGAGATGAGGCAACCACATCTCTATGCAGTATTCAGGATGTGGGCGTACCATGGTTTTATATAGAGGCAATAAGATATTTTCTGTCTTGTTCTCTATCCCTTTTTTAATGATTCCTAACATTCTATTTTCTTTTTTGACTGTTGCTGCACACTGAGTGGATGTTTTCAGAGAATTATCCACAATGACTCCAAGATCTCTCTTAGTAGTTGTAGTAGTCAAATTAGTCCCGATCATATTGTATGTATATTTGGGCTTATTTTTCCCAATGTGCATTACTTTACATTTATCAACATTAAATTTCATTTGCCATTTTGGTGCCCAATGTCATATCATATATAGTCACACAATCTACCTTTCAACAGGCAGACACGCACACACACAAGCTCTGACATACCCACACATTCAGATATGTACAAAATATCTGTATAATGTTCAAACACAAAATCTCTCTTATCCCGGAAAAACTGTGTAGTCTAACCGTACCCTCACACACACTATCACAAATTCTCTGTCACACACACACAGGCCTCTCTTACACACATACACAGTTCTTTCTGTCACACACACACAGATCTCTGTCTCTCTTACACATGGTCACACAACACCAAGTTCTCTGCCTCACACACAAATGTCACACATACACTCACATAGTGGTCTCTGTCACATACACAAAATCACAGTTCTGTCACCTACTTACCACACACAATTATCTCTGTCACGCTGTCCCATTTACACACCCACACACAGTTCTCTGTCACCCACACACAGTTTTCTCTGTCATCCACGCTGTCCCATTCACACACAGTTCTGCAACCCACACACAACATTCTCTTGTCTCACATGCACACACACCTGCAGTTTTGTCTCACTCACACTCTTCTCTCTGTCACACACTCACTTAATCTCCCTAACACACAGCTCTCTCTGTACTTACCGCTCCAACCATTAGAGTGTTCCCGTCCTGTGAGTCCTCGGAGAGGCAGCTAGTGCTGCTCTGGGATGAAGGGTTACCTCCAAACCATTCCATGCTGCGTACATGCATGGGGTCAGATCTTCA